AAACAAACACTCTCTGTTACTTTAACTCTTGAAGTAATCATACCTTGTCTTAATGTTGGTTTAGTAAGACACAATAATCATACCTATAATATCATGATGAGTGTAAAGATGTAAGGAATGCTAACCGCTCAAACTGTTTCTTTTTCTGCTGCCATGAGCTGACAGAGAAAAAATACATTTGCCTCTCTGGAAATCATTCTGTGCGCTATAGCCTGCAGTTTGAAGTCTTCTTTGTAATGAGAATGAAATGTTGAGAGTCTATAGCATCCTCCTCTCTCTCTCTCTGTCTCCTCAGTGTGTCCACTAATCTGACAGTGCTGTGTGTGCTGGTGCTGTGTGTGTGCCTGTACGTCCCTGGATTGGTGGTGTGTACGCGGGCTGATGTCGCCTCTGAGGTGAACCAAAGAGTCCACTTTCTGTCTGACAACTCGCCTCGTGACCCATATCTTTACGCTGTCACAGTCCACACCGGTCCTTGCTCTGTCGCCTGTATGAGTGCAAAGGTAGCGTTTATTTTGAATCCTTTAAACACACACATTAAAAAACTAACAAAATGTGTGTCTTCAATGTTTGTACAGTATTTTTTTTTTTTTAATTGCCAGTAAATGATTGTCTCATCTTACTTCCCATGTCTTGTCCATGTAACAAACACAGACAGTAATATTGATAATAATATAATATATAATAATATATTGATTATATTGATTGTTGATTAATTGTGTGTGTGTGTGTGTGTGTGTGTGTGTGTGTGTGTGTGTGTGTGTCTTGGGACAGATGTGTGTGTGTGTGTGTGTGTATATCATGACCACACATCCTATAACTATCCTACAACTAGAAGTTGATTTATCTTAGCTTCTTTTCTATCGGTGCTGCGGTATCTTGGAGTTAGTTGATGTGCTATTTGATTTTAGTCATCTAGTAGATCAACTTCTCCGTCAATTTGAACAGTTCCACTCAGAAACGGGTAGAGTCCAGCAGTGTTGAATGAAACGAGTAAGTTGTGGATCACTTTATCTTTTGTGTTCACCTTTTTTTTTTTTCTAAAGTCTCCTCGAGCTTTCTTCAAATTTCTTCTGAACGCGACACCGTTGTCTTTGAACAGGCTTAGTATTTCAAGTTATTTTTCTCTTTTTAGTCATCTCTTATTGCTCTTGTCCTTGGGCTTGTAGTCTCGACACATGCTGCCAACATGAGTCCAACCCTTTTTTTCCCCTGTTTTTCCCACTTTTTAGACATTTTCTCTATGCTTTCTTTCTTTGATGGGTTTTTGACACCGAGAATTCTTTCTGGAGTTACAATTATGGTTCAACACAGTTTCACACAATTTTCAGCTTTTGTAATGTAAGGATATGATTGCGGTGCATAAGTGATTTTGCAGTATAATCGGTATATTCACCCATATGCAACACTTTGTTTTATGAGTAACTCTTCCCAATGTATGTGTTCATTTTGTGACAGTATCTAGTTATAATGTGTCCACTATGTGCTATTTTGTCTATCTGCACTCTGCAGATACTCTATGTGTCACGGCAAGCCAGGGCTTCTGCATATATATTATTTCTTTCTTGGATAAAAAAACCTCAGCACTCCGTAAAGGCGGGGGGAGATATGTCACCCTTCTCATGTCTCAGTCTAAGCGGGAGAATGTCCTGGGAGGTGGTTCTTCACTATGTACCCGACTTTATTTACACGTAAAAATGGGTCACTGAACTGCTGTACCAGGTAACAAGGTTAACAATAGCGCACAACATTCAGGAACACTTAGCTGGCTTGAAAGTAAAAAACCACTAGAACAAATTTGAGCTCTTCGATAGGTATTTACAAAGTATGTTTTTTCAGAAAGTAAAGATTAAAATGGTTGTTAAACGGGAACCTCTGTTTCTGTATTTGATCTTTTTCTACAAATGTATTGGTTGGTTCCTCAGACATTACCTGCTGAGCAAACTTATCTGTTTTGGTTCACCAGGTTTACATAGTGCTGAATGGTAAAGATGGGATCTCACAGACAAAAGAACTACAAGTCCCAGGATGCACCTTGTTCAGGAAAAACACACAAGATACATTTATATTAAGGTAAAATCTAAATATTACTTTCAACAAGTTCAAAAGGTCTTGATGTCTGGTATTTTACAAATTACACTGCTATCCATTTTACTAAAATAATACATCTTAACACATTAAACTCCGACTAAGTATTTTCTTTCTCTGTAACCGCAGTGCAGCTGACTGTCTGGGCCCAGTATGGGGGGTTCACATCTGGCATGACAACTCTGGCCCCTCCCCGACCTGGCACCTTAAAAATGTGGAGGTATCTGAGGTTAGTCTATTTGTTATTTAATGTGCTCTTTCCTCAGTGTTTGGTATTTCACTTCTACCTCCAAGATGGATTGCTTTCTACTTTTCAAACAGGTGAACATAGGGAATGTAAGAGGGCGTTCTTGGCTCTTTGTTGGCGAGTGCTGGCTAGCTGTGAATAAAGGGGACGGTCGGGTGGAGAGAATGCTGCTAGTTTGCAACCAGGGACTCGGCTTTGTTAAGGTGGAGTGCTCAAATACACAAATATTTTCCTCATATTTTCCTCTTATCTTCTGTTAATGTGTGCATGCATTCTTGCAGATGTTGTGTCTCAAGCTATCGGACTACTTTGTCGACCATCACGTGTGGATATCTGTACACAGCCGTCCCTGCCCCAACCCTTTCACATACACTCAAAGACTTAGCGTTTGCCTGCTGCTCCTGATGGGCTATGCATGTGTCAACACAATAATCATATCTCAAATGGATGATCGGGTTTGTCTATAAAACCTTTCAAATTAAAGATTCGGTCTACAATAGTAAGAAAACGTGTAACCCATATTACCTTTGTTCCTGATCCCCTGTTTACAGTCGCTGTTAGAGGCGGGCATCATTGATGTTTCAGCTGTTTCCGTGACAACAGGAATATTAAGTGTGGTGGCTGTGTTGCCTGCAGGAGCGTTGATATCTTTCCTGTTCGGCTGCGCGACGTCAAATTGGCAGAGTCAAACAGCCAACACACAAACGGCACAAACAGTGAAAAGATCTTTTTTGAAGGTGAGCTCTTTTTTTTAAAGGTTTTACTTTGGGGCTTTTTTAATGCTTTTATGTAGAGACAGGACATGGAATAGAGGCAGAAACCAGGGAGAGAGAGAGAGTGGGGAATGACAAGCAGGAAAGGAGCCACAGATCAGATTCGAACCTGGGCCGCCCACCTGAAAACTACAGCCTTGATACATGGATGGTGTTTTGTATACCCCCTTTAAATTTTTTTTTTTTTTTTTAAACAGTACAGAAAAAGACCCTCCAGGTTCTGAAGTATTTGAGTCTTGAATATTTTCTTAATGTTTTTGAATGCCACTCGAATATAAACTCATTTTGGAATAGACCAATATATATGAGAATCACTCCAATAAGCCACATATTTCTCATCATGTCATCATTAGGTTTTTTTTCTCCTCACAGATGCTCAGTCAGTGACTGATAGTGTATTTGAGCCTCATCTCTTCTGGAGTAGTCTTCAGCGGTGGGCCCAGGAAGCGTGGAGGAACAAACACCAGGTAACACCTGGAGAATCAATATTTTTCCCTCTTCTGTTCTTTTACTTTCTCCTTTTCATCACACAGCCATTCTCTTCCCTTTCTGACCCTTCTTATTTGTGTTGCAGGGCGCGGACCTGGAGTCAGTTTATTCTACGAACACAGATAAAGAACCTGTAATCCAAACAGATGTGGCCATAAAAAAGGAACATGCTTTTGAAGTTGAGAATACGAAATCAGCATTTCAAAATGTGTCCCTGATTACTGAGGGGCCCGATGTTGATGCACCTCAGGGAAAAGTGTTAGGTCTTTTAAGTGAAAGCAGTGGGTTTCATGGAACCAAACCAGCTCTTTTGTCCAGTACGAGGGCGGGCGATGAAGCTATTCAGAGGGATAAAGTTCCTCAAGAAAAAAAGGAGGAAGGCAGCCATTACCAGGCAATCTGGTCCAATTACAGCAGACGTCAAGACAACGTTGCCAGGCTCAAAAGGAGAGGATTCAGACCAATATCCCAGTGGAGTCACTATCTGGCCTGGACCCTGTGTCTGCTGTTGTCTCTCTGCAGCCTGGGGCTCTCTGTAGTGCTGGGAACGAGGTAGCACATACAGTACACAATACCATTAAATGGATTATTGAAAATTGAATGAATGATTGTGGCAAGAGCTGTCAGTTATGCCTCATTGATAATTGCTTTTAAATCACGATTTATGTCCTTTGTTATAACTGCATGTGTCGAAATGTTTTGTGTTTGTTTTCTTCTTTTAGGTTCAGCAGCAGCCAGGTTCTGCTTTGGATACACTCCCTTTTGATCTGCCTGATGTGTTGCATCTTCTTCATTCAACCAGCTGTGGTAAACTAATGCAGGCCGTCTTTCAAACTTGTTAAAAAAAAAAGTTTGTAAAACCGAGACAGTTTGAAAATCAGCTCTTTACACTTTCTCTTTTTCTCTTGCAGATAGTCGCGGTGGCAGTGGTTGTCTCATTTTGGTACAGAAAAAGAGCAGACTTTCACAGTTTCTCCAGAGTCACAGATGTTGAGACAGAGGTTTCAAAACTGCCGAGTCCCGATGGTTCTTATCAACAAGAAGATCCGTTTAGTAAAACTGCCTTTCCTCTGAAGAGATGCACAAACCACGAAAAGGTGATAGACACACTCTGCCATTATTTGATTCTCATCTATCCTGTTTTTTTAAATTCAACATACCTCTGATTGACAGCTGCTTGGAGCTCGCCAGCGTGCCCGGTTCCTTCATCACGTACGCCCGTCAACACTAGCAGAACTAAAGAAAACGCGTGGGAAGAAAAAAAGAGAGACTCTAATCGCAAAACCCTCAGGTATGAAGCTGTGTATATGTACACCTGTGTGTATTTGATTTAAAGCTGTATAAGGAATCATCCCCTTTTTCTTGTCTTTCAGGGATCTGTCGGTCTGTTTCTCCATGTTTTTTCTAATACTATGCATAAATTATGGCAGCTCACTGACAGCTGATTATAACCACCTCAACAAAGCAGTGAGAAAACAGTTGATAAGGTAATATCTGCACACACACACACACACACGTTATCTCTTTCTTTGTTTCTATTACTTTCTGATTAACACACTCTTTCAACAGGGGCCATGATAAGTCCTTTATGTCCATACAAAAACATGACGACTGGTGGACATGGACACACAGCCGCCTCCTTCATTTACTGTACAAAAATGCATCAACCACAACCAAGGTGAGCGACAACAACCCGTGCAGTGTTTCACAACCTTAGAATGATTCATCTTGATCATGTAATGAAATCTCTACAATCCACTGTAAGACATGTAACTGCTATGTAAAGATTTTTATGTTTCATTAGTATGAAATCAAACAAACGTTTCACCCTTTTTTTTTTTTTTTTTTTTTACTGCTCAATGGTTTGATTTCATCCAACAGTCAAACGTCTTGATTGGAGAGCCAATCCTGTGGAAGATGGACAAGTCCCGCTTATTCCAGGTCAATAAAAGAAACACAAATGCTGCATACCTCTATAAGTCATAAATGTTTACTTGCCTAAATTCATTGTAACCTGGGGGGGGGTGCCTGTGGACTAGTGGTTAGAGCCTGTTCCCCATGTACGGAAGCTATGGTCCTCGAAGCCGGTGGCCCAGGTTCAAATCTGACCTGTGGCTCTCTTTCTGCATGTCATTCCTCACTACCTCTCTTTTTCTGACTCTATCCACTGTACTACCTCTAAAAATAAAGACTTACAACTCCCAAAAATAAACCTTTAAAAAAAATAAAAAATTTATCCGAAACATCTTGATAAAAATGACAGAAAAATGTATAGAATTCCATAAATGTTGGATTGTCACACAGTGAAATAAATATGAATAACTAAACTAAAAAAAAAAAACAGTCAATTTCTTTATGATTCAAGACATTACACTGCTGTGTTGTAAACAATGTCTTCCTGTAGAGGGTGCTGTGTTATAACCTTGAGTCAAAGCCACGTGCACACAGTAGCTATATTGTAGTAATGCATGTCAGTCAGCGGAGATTAAAGTACATTGCAGTGACAGATGTATTAATTCAGCTCAAATTTGAAAAGCAACCCTGTGCTTTACGTTTCTTGAAGCAACCACTGACTCACTGTTTTACCTTTGATTGTCCTGACTGTGAGTATTCTGACTGACTGTGCTTCGTATGGCTGCTCAGCTCCCGAGCATGACTCCCATGCCAGAGTGTCTTCGTTCATTCATGTCTGGAACATCCACTCAACCACACTCCAGTGTCTTTGTTCCCACAACAAATCCTTCAAGGACATGTGGCCAGCTGGGCTGCTACTTTGGACAAAGTGTTGAAGTCGGCTTAGGCCACAGGAAGTGAGAAACACACAGATACACACATGATAAAAATAGTTGAGTTACCCAAGCGTTTTCTCTGCTGACATGATTTCCTGATGTTTTTTTTTTTTTTACACCCTCACTTCTGTAAATACCTCATCATCATTGTTCAGTTTGTCCCTCTGCAGGTCTGATGCTGCGTCCAAACTGAAGCTCCTGAGTTCAGGTGGATGGCTGGGCAGACAGACAGCAGCTGTGAAAGTCCAGTTCACCTTGTTCAGTCCTGCACTCAACTTATTTACCGGTGTGACGATGCTGGCTGAGCAGAGCCCGACAGGTGTCCTCCTGCCCTCTGCCAAAGTCCAGTCAGTTAGGGTGTATCACACCCCTGCTGTGTGGGACTATGTCACTATGGTGTGCCAGGTAAAAAAAAAATCATCTACTCTCAAAACCAAATAGAGTCTACACACAACAATGTTCCCAAAATGCATTTGCTTCAGTTGGTTATAAAAGAGAATACCAACAAAACTGGATGCTTTTTCTTCATCCGCTCCAGCTCCTCTTCCTTCTCTTGTCTCTGCTGCAACTCTGGGATCAGGTGTACTCTGTAGGGCAGGAAGGGCTGTTTGGATACTCGAGGAGGCCCTGCAGCTGGCTAGAAGTGAGTCCACCACATATGCTCAAAACACAGAAGTCATACTGCTTATTGTGAGACAAAAAAAACATTAAAGGACCTCCAGCAAGCTTTAACATACAAATACACGACAACAATACACAGTCAACACACACACGCAGAAACGAGATCACAATGACCTGAAAGGGCAAAGCAACCTCTAGCTCTTGAACAAACACAACTGTGAAGTTATTCACACACAAAAGGTCAAGCACACAGCATGACCTTGGCTGCACAAACTATAAGGAAGTGGTTTTGCTTTATTCTGCTGTAGAATTAAACCTCTTCCTCTCTCTGTCTCACTCTTTTTCTGCAGGTCAGTTTGCTGATAGTAACCCTTGTGTATTACTCTTATTACATCTATCACTCTGCAATTGTCTTGGACATAGTGGAGCTGCTGCAGAGACACAACCACAGAAGACATGTTGATGTCGTACTTCTGGCAACCTGTGAACAAGTGAGAGAAAGAAGGAGGGGAGAGGCAGGAAAAACAAATATTAAATGTTGACAGTACCATTCACTCCCTGTCCTGCTGTAATTAAATAAACTACCTCCTCTTAAAAAGAAAGAGCCTTATTTTTATTATTAATTTGATTCAAATTCAACAATATCATGAAACCCTCACATTTAACTTTACATGCGTAATCATGTTTGTATAAAAACACGTTTGTAGTTTTTGTTAGACACGCCTTTATTAAATACAAGATGGTGAATTCAGATGTCAAACGTGCTTTACAAACATAACATGAATGATTCACAGTGGTGATGTCTTCTTGTGTTTGCAGCATATCCGCATTCTGGGCGGAGTTCTGCTCTTCCTCCTCACCGTGAAGTGTGCGACTGTGTTGAGGGTGATCAGGACGTTTGCCACCTCTGCTGCACTCCTCACTCGCACGCTTTACAGACTTTTATGGCCAATGGTAAAAACACTGTGCAGCAACACCTGCCAGAAAAAGGCCCTATATTGTCAGCAATAGCTACTGTCGTTTTAGAAAAAGCTGGGTTTAAATTTTTAAAGTCTGTATTATTTATTATCATCAGAAGATGTCATGAAACTATCAGTGAGGTAATTGTACAATTCTGTGAGAATATCCTTTTGGCACAGAAACACATCATTATTCTCCTTCAGTGATCATTTAGTTCTGGCGGAAAACATGGAAATGGTTTCTCTCTTCTGTCTTAGATTACAGGTCTTATCCTGATGGTGGCGCTGTCCTGCGTGGGGAATCTCCTACTTGTGAAAAGCTCCTGGGCCTTCAGTTTACCTTCCCGCTCACCTCAGACACGCCTCAGTCATTACTGGAGTCACAGGGCCTTAAAGTGCCCCCTCCTTTCTGAGCGTGATCTCCTTTACCGAGGAGCTCTCTATCTGTCCTCCATTGTGTGGACAGCAGGGGTAAATATAAACCATGAAACCTTTTTTTCCCCCATACATTTTGTGAATGAAAGACTAGAAGACAAACGTAATGTTTAATAAATCAGTCAGTAAAAATGCAGTATTCATCTGTGGTTTTTTCTAACAGTAGTCTGTCTTTTTTTTTTTTTTTTTTTGCAGACTCTAGGTGTTGTGTCATCAGTGTTCAGAAGTGCCAAAGCATCTCGAACCAGGGGGAATGTCTTCACTGTGACAGAATTAACCGATTACATCAGACAGAGAGTCTCTGAGTTTACAGGGCATGCACGAAGACAATCATTGACTGAAAATCAAGTGGAAAGGAGGGTAAAGAAAAAGCAGCTCAGTCTAGTTAGATTAAAAATTCTCTAAAAAAAAAGATTAACATTGTTTTTTCAAAAAAAATCATTTTAATTTTAAAGTGTATCTATATCATTGTTATGCTTTTTAACCTGCATCTCTTTGTCAAACTACCTGTGTCTGAATCATATGGACTACAGTCAGGTTATTGATAGATGTGGATGTTTGCTTTTAATTGGCTGCAGTTATAGTACTGTGCAAGGTCAAGCTGCAGCTTTGTTTTAATCACCATCCATTTTTAAGATACAACCAGAAAATACAGGAACATTTTATGTACGCAAAATAATATTTATCCTGCTGAAAAATCAAACTGTTCCGAATCAGCCACTTTGCAGAAAAAGGGCATCACAACATTTCTAAATCAACAAATCTGAAGGTGGCCTTAACATTTACATTTGTAGAGTTAACGGTTTTCTCGGTTCAGAAATGAATAATCGTGTTTTTTTTTTCTTTTTTCAGACTTATCACCTTGAGGAGTTTGAAGGCTTAGTGGATGAACTTTTGTTTAAACTCAACGTCCTCTCAAACAGTCTGCACCTCACGCTGCCCCCCAAAGCCCATCACTACAGGGAGGAGGACAGTCCTCACACCTCACCAATACAGGAGCCTCCTGACTTAGATGCACAGGTGACTTTGCCTCCTTTACAAAAAAATAAAACAAAGCGCTCTTACACAATGTATTATTTGACATGTCGTCTTGAGAGAAAATGGTGTTTGAATGAACACTGGGTGATTCTGCTTCAGGACTCTGTGAGACCACTACCATCAGAAGAGACCATGTCTAATGATCACACAGATGTTAGTGGCCACGTGGAAACCCTTTCTCCATCTTACTTGCTCAGGTAATGATTTTGTATGCAGACTGTCTCTATGTTAGTTATAAGAAAACATTTAAACATCTTTAATTGCAAAATGATACAATATCACAGGTTTTTCTTCATGGGAATGAATTACCAGGTCCAGACTTGAACCGGAGATACTGACACTCCAGCAACAGAGAAACCAACGGGGAGACGATTGCTTCTCCAACACTGCTTTTGCATCACATAATTCACAGCAACCTGATACAATAACAGAAGAAAATCCAAAAGACAGAGAGCTTGAGACTTATTTCAATGTTCAAAATTGCGTCTCCCCTCCAGGGTCAGCATCACTGATTACAGTTTGTTCAGATGATGATCCTGAGAAGGAAGTTGACCAGACGACCAGAAGAGATTACAGCTGCTGGTTGAGTATAACTCAGGCCACTCATACCGAGGTGGTGTTGGAGGTTCTTGTACATGAGGCACCTGAGAGTCTACCGTCATATAAACAGTAGGGTCCTGCTGCAGGTAACATTATCATATATAATGATACTATTTGCTATGCGCTTGGGATTTCACTGCATCTCCTTAACTAGCAAATAATGTAATCTGGATCAAATAAACATATGAAATAAGCCGTCCCATTCTGGTAGGTACTCAAAAAAACCGTTCAATTAAATTTAGTAACTACCTGTGGCTTTTTTTTTTTTTATTACTTTTTAAGAATCCTTTACTTTCTATTATTGCAACCTGTCATTTAAATTTGATTGTAATAAAAAAAAGATGTATGCATTAGAGTTGTGTGTTGCTGTTTGGTTTAGCATCATCTGTTAAAAAAAAAAAAAGAAAAAGACTTGGTGTCATCTTTACATTTTATATGAATGTTCTGTGATTACACCTGAGATGTGTGGTATTTAACAATCTGTTTCTTAGGCTTTAAAGAGAAATTGCGATGAAGATACATTGTTTTTTTTCTTTTTTTTTAAATCACATTTTTCTATTTTTTTTTAATTTAACCTTTATTTATCCAGGAAAGTCCCATTGAGATTAAAAACCTCTTTTTCAAGGGAGTCCTGGCCAAGAGGCAGCAGAAGTTACACAGTCACACTCACAAACACACAGACAGCAATTAAAATTATAAAAAAATAATAATAATACTAATAATAACATGAAATGAAATGAAGACACGTGTACAAATCATGATTTAATCATTCACTGAAGTAATGTTTTTAGATGATCTGTAAACTTGGCTGGCGCATTCACAACAGCGTGAAACGCTGAATAAAAGCATCCAATAGCATCCGCCAACGTATACTTGAGTGGCGGGCTGTGATTGGCGAACAGGCGAGGAGGAGGACCAATCACAGCGTGGCAAGTCAGACAAAGTTCCAGACGGAGGAGGAGGCGGCGGCGTGCGTTGTTTTCCCGAAGTGCTTACTTTTGTATGAAACCACGAAGCGAAGGCGTCTGCAGCCACACGTCAGTATTGATCCGGACGGCTCGCCTGTAAGTCGATGACACTCGTCAGCGTTTAACTAGCAGACTACTTTGTGTTGACAAGCACGTCGTTAACCCCACGGGCCGCGTCATCTTCGGACAATGAGGAAGGTTGCTCTGCTGCTGATCGTGCTGCTCGGCGTGGCACACTTTGCAACCGTCAGCCGATGTGAAGATGGTAAGAGAGCGCTTTAAAACAAGTCTTCTGTGTTTATTCTAACTGCATGTGCTGCTGAAGTGAAGTCATTCCGCCTGCATGGTTGTCCCCCCCCGTCCCCCCCCGCCAAGTAAGTTATTGCAGGCTAGCAGGTCAGCTAACGTCAACGCAAAGTGGTACAAGACAAGTCGCAATAATGTAGCTTAACTGGCTTGTGAGTGTTTTGACACTAACGTAAGACAAGTCAGCTTTGTTTGCAAAGCTTCACAGAAAGTGGTTTGCTCCTTGCTGTCAAACCGGATGTAATGTTGCTGTCAAATGCGTCAGGAGTGTTGCGTCCATACTTTCTTTGAGTCTTTAACCAGACACACACACACACACACACACAATGCATGTGAAACACTAACACACCTGTGTTTAAATCCGCTTGTTCTTTGCTGTTCAGATGTTGCAGAGGAGAAGGTGGAGTCTGATGAAGAGGAAAGTGATGATGATGATGATGATGATGACGACACAGAGGTGAAAGAAGAAAACGGAGTGCTTGTTCTCAACGACAGCAACTTTGAAACTTTCATGGAGGGCAAAGACACAGTTCTGATTGAGTTTTATGCTCCATGGTACGTCTGTTTCTCCTCAGCTTGGCTATACCTTCATTTTTTTTTTACCCCCTCACTTCTCAAGGCATTTTTCTATTCACAAATATTCAACAGGATACTTCACACGCCATATCATTATTATTATTTTTTTTTATATACTATAGTGTTCTTTGTTTGTCCCGTGTAGGTGCGGCCACTGTAAACAGTTCGTCCCAGAATATGAAAAGATAGCTCAGGCTCTTAAGGAGAATGACCCACCTGTACCCGTGGCCAAAGTTGATGCCACAGTAGCCAGCGACTTAGCGACCAGGTTCGAGGTGTCGGGCTATCCCACAATTAAGATTTTGAAAAATGGGGAGCCTGTCGACTACGATGGAGAAAGAACAGAGAAAGGTGAAGAAGAGTTCATCTGTTATGTTTCATGGTTAAACTCTTTTTTTGGGAAAGCATTGGGTGATTTAACAGACTGTGTTTTTTTTTTTTCCTGCAGCTATTGTGGCCAGAGTCAAAGAGGTGGCTCAGGCAGATTGGAAGCCCCCTCCTGAGGCGACGCTGGTGCTGACCAAGGACAACTTTGATGACACCGTCAACAACGCAGACATCATCTTGGTGGAGTTCTACGCTCCATGGTTAGTCGCCACAAAACACCGGTGTGGCTCAGAAGCCTCGCTTGTCGGGTCTGACCTGCAGCACTGATATCTTCTTTGGAAAAAAAGAAGGTGTTCTTCATTATTTGCTGGTTGTCGCCTTCAGGTGCGGACACTGCAAGCGTTTGGCTCCAGAATACGAGAAAGCAGCCAAAGAGCTCAGCCAGCGCTCTCCTCCCATCCCTCTGGCCAAGGTGGATGCCACTGTGGAGAATGAGATCGCCTCACGTTTTGAAGTCACAGGCTACCCCACGCTCAAGATCTTCAGGAGAGGGAAGATGTTCGACTACAACGGGCCCAGAGAGAAGCACGGTATGTGATTATTTTTTTTGCTCTATACGAAACTGACACCAGCCTTTTTTCTCGGGTTTGTCTTGGCTATTTTTAACTATTACTGTTTTTTTTCTGTTCCTCCAGGGATTGTTGACTACATGGTTGAGCAGTCGGGGCCTCCCTCTAAGCAGATCCAGGCACAGAAACAGGTGCAGGAGCTGATCAAGGATGGGGATGATGCTGTGATTGTCGGTGTGTTTTCCGGTGAACAGGACGCGGCTTATGAAACCTACATTGAAGCCTGTGAGTATCCTGGGCAGGAGATATTCAGAGAAACTAGTTATGGAAAAGAAGCCCGTCTTTAAATGTTATAGTCCACCTAACCTAATTTATTTTTATCATGAGGGCAAAGCTCGTTGATATTTTCCAAACACTCATGTAGATGTGACTCTCACTGCTGTCTGTCTGTCTGTCAGGTAATGCCCTGAGAGAAGACTTCACCTTCCGTCACTCGTTCAGTTCTGATCTTGCAAAACTGCTCAATGCTTCGCCTGGTCAGGTTGTCATTGTTCACCCAGAGAGGTTCCGCTCAAAGTACGAGCCAGCTTCACACACACTTACAGTGAAGGTATCGTCTGTTTTTTTGGGTTTTAACATTAGATGTGTTAAGAATAGTTTAATAGACTCCTGCTGTTGTCTTTTAGTTTTAGTGTGGGGTAAATATTGTCTCAAGGTGAAATCTGTGGTGCTATTCCAGTCTTCAGTGGTGAATTATTTAACTTAAGAGACAAATTAAGTCACTTTTTTTTTTTCGATCCTACAGGACTCTACGTCTGTGTCAGAAGTGCAGGACTTCTTCAAAAAGCATGTGAGTCCTCTGGTGGGCCACAGAAAACCAAGCAATGATGCCAAGCGCTACGCGAAAAGACCCATGGTGGTTGTTTACTATGGAGTTGACTTCAGCTTTGACTACAGGAAAGGTGAGTTCTTCATATTTAGGTTAGACCTGGGATCTTGTTTTGCCGCAAATTACTTTTTTTTTTTTTTTTTTTGCAATGTTGAATTTACTGTAATACTGTTTGTATAGCTTTGTGTCAAGGCAAGAAAATACTGCTTAGAAAAGACTCATTTTGACACCAGAAACAATAATACACTTGTGAAGAATTGAAAATGCATTGGACAAATCTCACATTTAGTTTTTCTTTCATTTGCAGCCACACAGTTCTGGAGGTCCAAGGTGCTTGCAGTGGCCAAGGACTTCCCAGAATACACCTTTGTCATCGCTGACGAGGAGGACTACGCTGAGGAGCTGAAGGGCCTGGGTCTGAGTGAGAGCGGAGAGGAAGTGAACGTAGGAATTCAGGGAGAGGGAGGCAAAAAGTATGCCATGGAGCCTGAGGAGTTTGACTCTGAAGTGCTGAGAGACTTTGTAATGGCTTTCAAGAAAGGTACGTGTGGCGTTGTTTTATTATTATTTTGAGGAATAGTATCATGTTTAAAGAGGCATGTTTTTTTTTTCTCAAACTGTGAACAGTTTAATAAACACACTTTCACTCTTGTTACTTGTAGCTGTTTAAGTCCCACTACAATTTCTGTCTCTAGACACTCTTGTGTAGTTAGATTAATATTTAGCCATGTAATGGAAACAAATGTAACTATATCTGGTATCTGTACATAAACAAGGCTTACATAAACTGCATTTGAATAATTAGAAATGATCTTGGAACACAATATGGTATAATTTGCATAAAAGGCTAGCATTGAACATTTGAATTTAACACGTTTGTTCTGATCATTTCTCTTGCGTTTACAGGGAAGCTGAAGCCCATCATTAAATCCCAGCCAGTGCCAAAAAACAACAAAGGACCAGTTAAGGTCGTGGTTGGAAAAAACTTTGACGACATCGTCATGGATACCCAGAAGGATGTCCTGATTGAGTTTTATGCTCCCTGGTGTGGCCACTGTAAGAAACTAGAGCCTGATTTTTGGCTCTGGGCAAGAAGTACAAAGGGGAGAAGAACCTGGTGATCGCCAAGATGGACTCCACAGCCAACGACGTGCCAAACGAGAACTACAAAGTGGAAGGCTTCCCCACAATATACTTTGCCCCAAGCAACAGCAAGCAGAGCCCCGTCAAATTTGAAGGTGGAGACAGAACAGTAGAGGGCTTCAGCAAGTTTGTGGAAGAGCACGCCACAAAGCTGTCACAGAAGAAAGACGAACTTTGAAAATATTGCTCTCTATGAGTAGCTAAGAACTCAAAGTGTGCTTGAGCGGACTCTCAGAGGGGGGAAAAAGCAGGAGAGGTAAATTGAGTTACTGTGATGATCAATCATTGTTTTAGTTTCTGTTCATTCCAAGAGATTCAGCTTTCTTCTGTTTCTAAAAGCATGTAAGCACTGTTGGAGATTTCAGTCTTTTTAAATAAAACCAAAAATGATGGCAGCAACGTGTGCCTGCACCTTTATGTGACTCTTCCATAATATTAATGAAAACGGGGGAAGTTGTGATAGCAGACATTGCAGAAAACCAATGTTTTAGAAATTCAAGTGTTTTAATCACATTTAAACATTAGTAATGTAAGTGCCTTTTCGGCCTGTCAGGT